AAAATGATGAAATATGAATAATATCTTTCGATCTTACCGATAGAAAAAGTTAAGTTGATTATCGATAAAACACGATTAAAATGACATTTTCTAAAAATGATTGCTAGCTAGATCGATTTATCGTCCCCGAAACCCCCAATATTTTATGAAAATCGTTGGATCCGATTCCGAGATTCCAATTATATATATTTGTATATATATATATATATATATACAAGAATTGTTCATTTAAAGATATAAGATTTAATTTTATTTGTGAATAAAAACCTAAATTTAATTTATTAATTAAATTATAGTTAATTAGAACCGATTATTTGATATATTTCAACGGTTATGTTACAAAAGTGATCACAAAAATGACTAACGCTACAAATAGTTTTCTAAAGACAAACATAAAACTAATAGAGTTAATACAAATCAAAAGGTTTTGCTTCCCTTAAAACATTAACAAAATACTAATGTAAGTAGAAGTCAAAGTAAATACGAACAGATAGGCTCGATTAAGGGTAGGGGATGAGGGTTAATCCTTAATTTATCTCTGTTTATCGCTAAGGGATCGAAACACGAATACATTACTGATTTACTTTGGATACATCTATTTACTAAATGGACGTCTAATGAAATCTAATTTATGTAGTTGGTTGTACTTCTGTATTTTGTTGCCCTTTTTTCTTAAAAACTCTTTACTTTTATCGACGCATTGTTATATTTGTGATTGAATTTTTATTATGTTTATTATATTTTATTAAGTTTTTTATATCATAAGGTGGCAAACGAGCGAGCGGCCACCTGATATCGCTGAAATAGCAAAGTGACCGTTGCCCATAGACATACGCAGTTGCACATGCGTTGCCTACCTTTAATCGACGGAGGAGAGGATACACAGAAAGAAAATATATTCCTTTTCCATGCATCCTCTCCAAAGTCCAAAGTCCACTTCCACTTCCCATCCTTTCCTTATAAGAAAAAGGGTGGGAAGGGAAAGAAGACTAAATTAGGCCTCCGGGACGCACACTCATCAGACGAAACGCGGAATTACTTCCACTTCACGCCTGTTTTCTGTATGGTCGTGGTATTTCGACGGGCGAGCCGGGCCAAGTCGTGCGAAGATGTTAAAGCGGGCTCTACCATTGTTTAAGTAACGAATTAGTAAGTTAAGTCTGCGCGGAATTAAAAAAAAACGTAATAAGTAGCCTATGTATTCTACCACACTATGTTCTACAATACTAACTTTCGGATTCGTGAGCCTTTCCGGAGATACCTTCAAACATCCATGTAAACATTGGCATCTACAACATACAGGCAGTGTATAGAAACAATTTAAATTTAATAGAGGGTTGAGAATATCTGCATTGTAACATAAAATAAATTAATTTGACTTAACATGTATCAAGGTACTATTACAATGTGTAAATCATACATTGTACGATTTTATATTTAATTATTTCTTTATTTTTATAGTAAACTAGCTGTCTCCCGCGACTCCGTCCGCGTTGATATATAAAAAAACTTAAGTAGTGTAGCCTACGTGTTCTTTCAGACTATGTTCTATACGTATGCCAAATTTAATCGAGATCCGTTCAACCGTTTTAGAGATATCTTTAAACACCCATCCATCCATCCACATCACATCCATCTAAATATATATAATATTAGTAAGTTAAATAAAAAGCAGCCCTTCAAGGTATAAATTTGAAAAAAAAGAAAAAAGTCTCCTGGCTCTAAGCTCCTCACTAATTTTCGACCATAGCGGTAAAGCCGTTCTTGAGTTATAAACAGTGTAACTAACACGGCTTTCTTTAATATATAAATAATAATGGCACAAAGTTATGAATAAGTTAATAAGAGAAACATAATTAAAAATAATATTTCGCTACTAAACAGCATTTGTAGTAAGGGTTAAGGCAACTTTGAATATTTAGTTGTGACGGGGAGCCGGGCGCGGTGCGGGCCGCGACTGAGCGCCTCTGACCTAGTTACGACCCGGGAACGTATTTGTACCAAAATATTATTTATGATACTAACAGATAACTTTATTTGTTAAAGTGCTTTTTATATTTATCTATTAATGGAAGTTGAAGTACCCGTTTAATAAATATAATAAAATAAGGTAAAATATCTAAGATAAAGTTTTTGTTAGCAAGTTTTTAAAAATATATATTTTTTGGTATAAAGTTTCTAACACTAAACAACGAATGTATGAAAAATATGATAACTGTATTTAAAATATAGTGTTTCAATTTTTATATGAACCTACTAGCTGTCGCCCGCGACTCCGTCCGCGCGAAATAAAAAAAAACTTTCTTAGTAGCCTATGTGTTCATCCAGACTATGTTCTACATCTCTGGCAAATTTCAGCGAGATCCTTGCAGCCGTTTTAGACACCTTCTAATAAACATCCTAATCATCTAAACATTCTTATTAATTAGTAAGATTTTTTTTGTAAAATTTTAACTAAAAACATTGAAAAATGCGTTTATTTTTTACCTTTTTTAATAAATATAGCTTGACACAAAATTATCATCAAGTTTATTCGCACGGCGCGAACCTTATTGAGTTGAAACTTAAGCCGGTGCTTAAATTGTTAACATCGCAGTAAATAGAAAAAGGCTCGCACAATGCACTCTAAGCTTTAATTGTACCTTTGAGCTTAAGGGTTTAAGGCTGGACGTTTGAGGGTCACATTTTGTTTAAAGGCGAACGGGGTGGTTGGGGGTGTTTGCAGTACTTTTTACTTAGAATTTACAAACGTTAAGAAATCTGAAGATGGTAAAGTGTTAAAGGATCTTTTAATCATTTACCAAACTTTTTACTTTTAATTTTTCGATGCTATCTTTCGATAGACACAATAAATCTTATTAATATTATGAATGTGAAATTTTACATGGATGGGTGGAAATTTGACGAAATTTGGCACAAATGTAGAACATAGCCTAGAACACATAGGTTACTTATTATTATTTTTTTCAAACAGCGCGAACGGAGACGCGGGCGACGGCTAGTATAAATATAAATATATGAAAAGGAAGCAAATGCAGATGAGATAATATTTTACATTTCCTCTCTTATATGATAGCACAAAGTTTTGACATGCGCTGACCCATTTTGCAAGAGAAATCTCGAATGCTCCGTGACGCATGATTGAACAGGTAACATATGTTTGTCTCTTTTTATCCTAATATAATTCATCTAATCCGAATATTGCTGTCTCTTATTAACTTTATTAAAGGGAATCTCATATAGGATATTGTTTTTTGTTTATTTCACGTCATGTTCTGTGGAACAAATATCATTATGTCATTTTTCTTTAGGGAGAACTCTTACGTCCTTGAGAATTAAATGAAATATGTATTCAGTAACTCTGCTGTGTTTTTCTTGGATTTTCGTAATTCTGTAGAATGAATAAATATTTGAATTGCGCAAAATTAAATTTATTCAACAATGAAGTACAATGAATGTCATTTTGGAATCTTACTAATGTTATAAATGCGAATGTTTAAATGGATGGATGTTTGTTTAAACGTATCTCCAGATCGGCTGCATGGATCTCGCTGAAATTTGGCATAGATGTAGAAAATATCCTGGAAGAAAGCATAGACTGGTTAAGTTTTTTTTTATTCCGCGCGGACGGAGGCTTTCATCGAGAGCTAGTAGTTGATATACAATATACATATATAATTATAAAATCCTACATTGATAGAATTCGATCTTAACAACTCAACGCCTACTATGTTGCAACTAATTGATTATGCTCTAGGTTATTATCTTTGATGTCAATTCGAACCCCACACTTCACGGACGATGTCCCAAGCACTGCGTCACTGACTCCTGACAGCTAATTAAATACGTCCTCGTTGTGTCAATATAAAGTTGTGCATCTACACTTTACATACTTATACAATTTCAAATTGAATTAATATAGGCATTAACATGTGGCGATCATTGGGGGAGGCCTATGCCCAGCAGTGGGCGACTTATGGCTGAGAAAGAAGAAGGCATTAACATCACGGCAATTCCTCCTCTTTCTATTCTGCCTTACAAAGCTAATATCTTGTATAGTTTTCATTTGAACTGAGTAATTTTTGTTTATTATTGAAACATCTTACTAATATTATAAAAAGGAAATGTTTAAATGGATGAAAGGTCTGTTTGTTGTTGAAATTTCGCAGTCTGGAATAATACATAGGATAATAATTAACACATTCACTGCTTAAGATATAATATAGAATAATAAGCCAGGAGCCAACATTTTTAAGGCGTATTTGATTATGTACATATGTATGTTTGAGCGTCGGTGGCTCAGTGGTCAAGCACTTGACTTGCAATCTGCGGGTCCTGGGTTCGAATCCCGCCATGTACCAATGTGTTTTTCGATTTCCGATTTACATATGTACATTTATCCGACGTTCTTACGGTGAAGGAAAACATCGTGATGCAACCTGCATATATCTGAGAAGAAATTCAAAGATATGTGTAAAGTCAACCAACCCGCACTTGGCCAGCGTGGTTGACTATGGCCTAATCACCCTTAAATTAGGGTAGGCTTCGAAACCCTCGGTGGGGACGTATAGTGAGCTGATGATGATGTATGTTTGAAAATGTGAATGAAAGTACATTGTTATTATTATTATTTAAAAAAAAACTATTATGCCGCCTCCCCATGTGCGGCACCGTTTTCATGCCCCCTTCCCGCTTGAATCCGAGCGGTGAGCACTGAATGTGTTAATATAATAAAAAAAATATTTATGTTTTTTTTTAACCAACGCGGACGGAGTCGTGGCTGACAGCGATTTAATCATATTCATACTTTATGGAACTGCACTGCCGAAAGTATTTCATGTACATATACATTTAAGTTTTAGTGTAAAATAAAGACATATTGTTGAGATGCGAACTCATGGTATATACATCTATGTACACTATTCTCAAATTAAATCAATTAATTAATTACATTATGGATATTCTGTCGTATAATGAACAATTAGACGGTGGATACGTACGCCCTCGTGACCTGGTTCCGTCGCCTCGTGAATGGCTGCTTTATTGCACTCTTTATGCAAACGCGATGACACTGATAAAGCTCCCATTGACGTACCTGATATATTTACATACTTATTTAAAGTTTATTCAGATATGTTATATAAGATTTTTTATAATTTATCTCATTAAATACAAAGTCAAATTAACGCGTCTTTTTACATCGTACCATAAAATGAAAAGAAGAGAAAATTAAGGTTTATCTTATTACTTATTGTTATATGTAAATAAATTCTATACATAAAAATCTTGTGTCACGATGTATGTTCGCGATAAACTCAGAAACTACTGAACCAATTCCTATCTTTAAGCATCTATAATTAGGTACAATTTAGGAGATTGTGTAATTTTTATCTTAATTATTGTTTTTTTTCTGTGTGGTCGCGGATAATACGTAGTTAAAATATAAAATTAATTGTTAAACATTCTGTTACATTACGACAAAATGTAACTATAGAAGTAATATTATTGATTTTCAAATATACGTAAAATAACAATTAAGATGGGGCCCGGTGAGGGAGGGGAGGGGGGTGCGGGGTGGTGCATTTCTATTGCAGAATTCATACACAACGCACAGTTGATATACTATGAAAGCCGCTCTCACAGTGTACGGTGACCATGAATTAATGACAGTAAGGAATGTCCTAGATGTTCAACTATTGTCATTTATAGCGCAAGGAGATTAGAGTTACAATACATGTCAACACTCATAAAGATAAATTCATAATCATTGGCACTAGAAAAAGTGAAATATAAAAAAAAGGTTAGTGTTAAATTGTTTTGTTTAGTACATGTTTCGTCTTAGAAATGTGGTGTCTTAAATAAAGCTTCTTCATTTTTTCTTTATTGTTTCCATTTATTCATTATTATTGCTTTACAAAAAGACTAGCAACTTTTCTAATTCTACAGAGAAGAAAACTTCAAGCTAAATGGTATATTGGAATTTACAACTGAAAAATGTTTTTAGTAATATTTTGTATTCTGATTTCCTGGTCACCCTTATCCCGGAAAGCCACTCTGCGGGATTCAATCAAGGCGGGTGATGTCCGGGAACAACGGCCGCTCTTGCCTGCACCCCTCAACCCCGCCACAGCCTCCCCCGAGCTCGGCTTTAAGGCTTTGTAACGCTACGTGTACAAAGCCTTTAAACTATTCTATATCCTAAAATTACAGTTAGGAGAAACCAGAGGGAAATAGTAAAACATTTTTTTAAATAAAAGTAGGGGGCAAAAGAGCGGAACATCGAGTTGATTAACGACGCCCATGGACTTCCGCAACACCAGAGGAAGTGCAGATGCGTTGATGGACTTTAAGAAAATGGTATGCTTGCTTCTTGGAAATGCCGTTGAGGAGTGACCGTTTCACTACGCGGCTGTGCGCGCCAGATAATTGCGCAAGAATCGCACCGTTGTGAAGTGCCAGCCATCCAGGTGGTGTGGTGAATCTGAATGGGTAATCTGCGGTAGCAATCTTTAGATATTTACTGAGATTTTTTAAATAAAAGGCTTGTTATATACCTACTTTGCAACAGGAATTTTCTACCTTTTTACCCTAAAGAGTTGATTTTTACTCGTTATCACAGATGGCCTACTTATATAGTTGTAATTGAAACAACTAGAGCTAGGTGAGTGCGGAGAGGGATGGGGTTGCCAACACTTACGACAGCGTGATATATCGTGCGCAGATGACAACACTGAGCGGTAACGTTGCCAAAATAGGCCATGAAGACGGCATTGTCATCATAAGACTGCGGACTATTAACTGTGTACTGATAATCTTATAAATAAACTCAAGAAACTAACATGACTCTATAGTTATATATGTCAACTTCTTTTTAACATTTTAGTACATAAATCTATCGCGGATTTTAACTAATTTGTATTAAACTTTAAGGATAAAAGCGTATACAGAAACGCTGAAGTTTATTTAATAATAATATTATAAGTTTGTGTCATCATTTTTTCTGCCCATTACCTAAGGAGGGTTAATTTGGTATAGACATACTCTATCAGCAAAAGTTGAATCATTAAAGGTAAAAAACATCTTTACAAAATTTGCGTTATTATGTCAGAATTGTGAATTCTGAATTCGCCAGTTTTAGCTTCATAGCATCATGACATTATCACATCATTGTTGGACTTGAAAGTTAATTCCGTAAACGAATTGTTTGAAATTTGAATGAAATCCCTTAATTTATATTCCAAGCAGAAGTTTGTTTGACAATCGCGTCGCTAACAAAAGTTTCAACATCAGACATTTGAAATGTTACCAATGGTAGAGTTGTTTCCACAAAAGGTCGGATTCAAAATCAAATATTTCTTGTATGTTGATTTAAAAAAGCGATATAAAAAGATATAGGATATTATCAACTATATATTTTTCCAAAAAGAAAGTAATTGCGATATTACTAATATTATAAATACGAATGTTTGTATGGATAGATGAATGTTTGTTTGAAGGTATCTCCAGAACGGCTGCATCGATATCGCTGAAATTTGGCAAAGATATAGAACATACCCTGAAAGAACGCATAGGCTACTAATTATTTTAATTCCGCGCTGTCGGAATCGCGGGGACAGCTAGTATATTATACATAGTTTCGGTAGTGAACATTAACCAAAACACATCAAAAAGACAAAATCAACGAAAAAAAATATAAATTGAACATCAACAACAAGGAGGTCAAAATTAACCAAACACACCATAAGTATTTTTTTTCTCAATCGGACAAAAACATAAAGTCAACTGGAATTTCAGTAGCCATAATAGATAAGAATGAATGAATGACTCCTACAGATCGTTCGTGCCTAATGAGCGATGGCTGTGCGACCAACACGATAGGAGATAACAATCTCAGCCCTTCTCCCTTAGAACCTGAGCCCTGGTCAAGTGTCTTAGTTATGTACACGTAAGTACTAGGAAACCCTTTACATAGATATAGGTAACCTAATTTTATGGTGACCATAGTTTAAATATGAGCGATTGTATCCAATTAAGTGGACACCCTTAGTGTGTACCTAAGAATTCAGAGTACGATAATTAGTAATCAGAGCCTTCTTTTAGGTTTTTTATAATTCGCTAACTGTGGTAGATTCGCTGATTATTTTTAAATCAATTAGTTACTTTAATAAACTATTAGGCTAATTTACCTCTACATTTTGCGTAGAGCTTTTCAGAGTAATAATAAAATCTCTACTACCTTGAATATGATGTTAAACATATTGCATAGTCTTAGGGAAGTTAAGTGCATAAATTAATTTGTATGTCACCGAACGATTGTTAACATCGTTAAATTGTAATCATACTAGGCATTTTATATACTGACAGAAAATTAAACTAAACGAATGATTGATGATTATAATTTGCATGCAATATAATATTGCCTGATTAACTTCTAATATAAGTTAATTCGATTCAAATATAGTAAGTAAATTATGTTAATATTTAAGTTTTTCATGGAATTATTTTAATGTGCTTTTGTTGAATATAAATTTAATATAATTAAAGGAAAAACATATTCTTTTACAAAAGTTTTTAGTGCGAAAAAATATTCTCAAAATTATTTACATAAACTTTTCTGAAACAAATATTTCAAATAAAATTATAAACGAGATAAATTTCCAACATAAATAATTAAACGTACAAATATTAAATGACAAAAAAAAATGTATTTTGTACATCTCGTAGCATTTTTCGTAGAGCTTGACTACGAGAGACATGAAATGAAAAACGCGATAATTTATCATAAACAATATTTGATTAAATAAAAATCTATAACTTACGTATAACTGTGAGAGGTGATGACAACAAGTACACAATCGAAATATATCTCAATCACTACACTAATATATTCACATTACACGTACACACAAACACATTGTTCATTGAAACAGCCATATCTAGTGCATTATGAATTAATGGTTAACGCCTCGTTATTATCTCTTTTTTTAATTTTTTTTTTTTTTAGTATTGTGGCAGACGAGGTGTTGAACGTTCTGGGCGGACGACGTGTGAAGTGCGCGCGCAACCGCTCGCAGCGGACTTCACTACAGTGCGCGATGTAACGAAGACAACTTCACACAGCGATGTGACCTCGTTTTAGTAGCCCAGTACGATTTATTTTCGAAATGGCAACGTACCGGAGTGTATGTCTTTTTTTTATTTAATTGTAATACAATGTTATTATATCTAAAATGTATTAACATTTGCAAAAAAAATCTTTAATAACAATATGTTGGTTTATTTTTCAGTATTCAAGGATAGAGTCCTAACTTTAACTTAGTTACTTTCGAATATTTTATCTCTACTATTTTATTATTGATAACATCGCAAAGATACTTAAGTTTTTGAGATTAATATCACATTTTCTTCTTAGTTTCCAATATTTAAACTTACACGTTGTTCTCCTTGTGTATATTTTCACTTTTTCACATTTATATATATACTAGAAAAGTTTCCTCTCGTTAAAATATTATTGCAACGTGTAATAACATATATCTCGTATATCTTAAGAAATTGAGTAAATAAATTTAAAATAAAGATAAAAGAAAAGTTTAAAAATATTTGTAAACTGAATATGCTATGTGAAACATTAAATCGAGTTTAGTTAGACTAGATATCTCTAGTTATCTAGACCTTAATATTTAAAATCTACTTCTGTTTTAATACAAATTAATGTAAAATAACGATTTAATATTTTTTGTTATAACACTAGCTTTCGCCTGCGACTTCGTCTGCACGAAAATAGAAAAAATCTTACTTAGTAGCTTATGTATTCTTTCAGATTATGTTCTACATCCATGCAAAATTTAATAGAGTTCTATTGAGTCGCTTTGGAGATACATTTTAAGAAACATCCATCAACATTATTTTACGGGCTGGATGTTCTTGACCATGTATTTATCTATATATGTATTTGTATATTGTCATTTAACCTTAATGTACAACACGTGACAAAAGCTACGTGTGAATATCCTTCAAACAATACATAATGTACTCTTCCTGCCTGTCACCCGAAATATCATAGTACCTTCGCGCACAAAAGTTTTAGTGATGGTCAACATGCGAAAAATATTTTTTATTTTTTTAACACAATCTTGACTTATGGAGGTTAATTAAATTTAAGTTAACATAAATTAATTGAAAATACTACTAAAATTGTATCATAGACAAGTAAATAAAGCAATGTACATAATGAAATAAACTTAAGTGTAGGAATAAAGTTAATTTACTTAAAGACTTTTTTAATTTACTTAAGCTTAAAAAATAATTATTATAGTACTTTCAATAATTCTTTACATTAACTGTACCCTAATTATACTGCCGCAAAATTATAATTAATATACAGGCGTCATATTCCGCGTACTGTCACGCACAAAACTCTTAGATGTAGGAAGGTGGCAGTGACAGCAACCCTCCACCACCCGCACCCCTAGATAACGTCATCCCCGCGATCACCGACCGACCTCACCACACGATTGTACCTTGTTTTAGTGTAGCCATGCGTTACGTTTTCCTGGAACGTTTTTTTTTGTTTTCTAATATTTTATAAACACGACTCTCTTCATTATGGACACTCTCAGTTAAAGTGTTTTATATTATAGTTGTTTATTCTTGTTTTTCAAAAAACTTATTTTAGAAATAATATTATCAAAAAATAGTTAATTAAACCTCCTGACTATCCATGTAATACTTCGCGGTAAAGTGTCTTTGAAACTAAATTATTTGTCTATTTCGTAGTCGCTTAGCTATAGGTGTGTCAAAGGAATGATATACACAACTCTCATGTTATTATAGACGCATAGTAATATCTTCAATGTCTCGCTAATTACAAAAAGCTTGGTGTACATAGCGCACTGGTCGGGTTATTGCTTCGTTACGGGAACGACAAAGCGGCGAGGAATTTCCGAGATTCGGGAGTATATTATCCGAAAATTAAGTTTCATTTTAATAACACGACAAATAACTACGTAAATACAACGACGTTATAAGAACCAGGTAAATGCTGTAGATTGTCAAGTCGAAACGAAAGGTTCAAGTTTAATTTTCGACTAGTTTCTTATAATAATATTTATTTAAGTAAAACCCATTAATGTAATTAAAGTTAACTTACATCCAAGCTCAGATTGATTTGATAGTAGCGATCTCTTAACATAGATTTATCTCACTTAATTTAAACTAAGGGAACATGTACATTTATTAAGGGATGATAATTTTATTTAATTATGTATTTTTCTATGCATATTTTTTTAATAACGTTCTTTAAATTAACTTTAAATTTCCATCAAAATTATTGTGGAATATACTACGTTTATATACATATATTGACCAATATATGTCCCAATTTGGAACACGGAATAAACTTAGTTATAGGCTCGCCGGCCAGGCGTCACTCGAGTGAAACTCAACTAATAATATTATAGAATCCTATACACTATAAGCCAATAATTACGTACATACAGATATGTATATTAGAAGACATTTTGAATATTAAATATTTAGCTGAATATTAAAAAAGTCACACGTATCTCTACCTATCCTTGTTATATTTAAGTCGTTATAATTACCTAGAAACTAAGAGATATAAAATTAAACATTGTACAGCTTATAATCGATATTTGTGATATAAGAAACTTAATAGCTATTGAAAATTGGTAATAAATTTTATATTATCACATCAAATATGCTTTTCAATAACGAAACAAATAGCTTACCTTATTATCACATAAACTTTCGATCAGTACGACTAATCAATTAAAATCGTACCACTTTCCACAACAGTTCGTAGAGCTTTAAAAGATAAAGCACTTTACTAATGAATCACCAACTCAAGTATTCTTCCGGGGAAATTCACATAAATATGGCAACACTCACAAAATTCCACTGAAATAACATCCCGTCAACATTCGTCACTAAACACTTGAAATAAACGAACGCAAAAGTACAAACACAAAAGTATGCAAATTAGTTTAAAACGAAGTTTTATTTTTCTCTTTTATTTTTTTTTATTTGAAATGCGCGTGCGCTTGCGTTCTCCGCGCAGCGCCAGTGCTGTAGTGACGTCGCTGTATCAATCTAAAATTATCGATATATTTCTTCCGCAATAACTTTTCGATGCCACGTTATAACTATTTTTAGTCGCGTCTACGTTATTTTAACCCAGAGTATATTCGTTCTGGAATTATTATAGCTTCGATTCCCAGTATTTAGTGTTGAGATTTTCTTAGTCTGATTAAATGATGAAAGGCCTAAATAGTTTTTACCTAGTCCTCGTTCTAAATAAAGCAAGAAAAATTGTTTCTTCAATTAGTATTATACACATTTTTTTTCTCACATTTTAAATACAAAAAAACATCAATACAAAAAAAATAATATCATCCTTACGTTATGTTGTATATGGTTATTTTTTTTAAAGTTAGTCTGTACACAACATAATAACGGTTAGGTAAACTATTTTAACTTGCTATTTGCTAAAATGAACTGGCTAAAATGATAATCCTTACAAAGAAAAATCTTTAGTTTGTTCAACTGTTACTTCTAATATAGATATTTTGTCCTTGAATTTCCAAAAATATCGATAAAATGTTATCGATAATCATCAATCCCTGATCGAAAAGCTTAAAATCCTCGCATAACATCGGTAGAGTCTGCAACAACTTCCCGCTAAGCTTGTTTCATTTTACAAATAGTAGTGAAGTAATTGTTAGATAATTTAACGCTCTTCTTTTCGATATATCGCTGGCCAATAGAACGATCTCAAGAATGATTGCTTTTTTTAATGCTGATAATTAGAAAGCAAGCGTGTAGGAGTCTCTAACATTTGCAAATTCTGATTAAATGGACAGTAAAAGAAAAATATGCTGAGATTCATTGTTTTCGAGCTAAGAATAACGATGACAAACTTGTGTTAATAAAGTCTTAGAAATAAACAATGGGGAAATATCAAAATATTAATAAGTGAAGCAAATTCTTTTTACTCCTTTATAAGAAAAATACACGTATAGATGAACGTGTTTGCCTATTTGTTTTTTTTTATTAAAATTTTGAATTGTGTGACAAGGACGTATCTATAAAAGCGCTGGGGAAGATTTTGTCAAACAGAAAATTTACGCCTGTCCCTGTGGGTAACGACTTTTAAAAGAAAACTTTTGCTATCATTTTTTGTAAGGGGTCATTTTTTTACTTTCTCAGATCTTAAACAGAATACATAATTTACTCTCACTTCTTTTAGGTTTAATTTTGTCTTGTATTCGGAAGTGTGTCATTATCATTATGTTTACGAGCCGCTGACGACTTTAATGACTTGTTAATGACACGCGCTAATGATACCAGGCGACATTTTAACGACTTTCAATCATTAAAACTTTCCGCTTTCATTCTTTATAACTTTTTATAATTTTTATAGTTGATTTACCCTGCCCTTGATCGAAGTGCATGGGTACAAGGTAAAGAGAACAAGTTGTTATCGTCAGATTATTAACAACACGTATAGCGCACTACAACAGCCTTAAGTCATTTGAGTTCTCTTTTCCTCTCCCTTCTCTGGAAAAAGATTTCTTTTAATTATGTCAAATTAAAGTATTATTTTACATTAGTTATTTTTAACACATGTAAAATATTATAGATAAATAATTAATATCAAAAAGTTTTAATAACAGACTGCACATATTTAATCCCATTTTAAGAAATAAAACAAGCAATCAGGTTTTCAAATATTACAATTCTATTTGACAAATCAATCAAAATTTCCGTACAAAACTACACAAACCATATTTCAAAAATAACACAAAATTCCGGTAAGTTTTGAATATTAATTCAAATCCAATTATATTTAGATAAGAGGACATAAGATTATCCGTGAAAAGATGTAGATACAAAAAAGAAAGATATTTCAAAGAGTCACAGCCAATATCTACGACTTTATTTTTCGTCTTCCGCCTACGTAACAGTGTGTTTCCACGGCTCTCAGTGGACCGAGGCTCATACCATAGAATCACTAACTTAAAATGTCCATCCGTCTCAACCACCGTAACAGTAATTCGCGTAGTTAAGTCATTGCTTTGTTCCTGACTGTTTTTATGGCCGGCTATCTTAGTCCGTTTACAAATACACGCGTTATACATGTGCATTAAAGCGCGTAGTAACAATAGCTGCTATCTAGGTATGAGCAATAGTATCAAGGCAGGATGGTGAGACTGGTGCGAGGTGGATAGCGTACGATGGGCTTGGTGCGCGACGCGCTCTTTCTCCTGCTGACCACTCTGCTTGCCGTCTCCTCCTTCGCCGCTGCCTGCACGAGGAAAGTTTACATCGCCTGCAAGAAACCTGCACCCTGCGGGGAGTAACTAAGGTACACTACACACTAAGTTCATAGTAGCAACTCACAATAGCTTTTGATTTACGCGCGATTTATTAACTAATACAGCTTTTGCTGTTTAATTCGGTTGAATAGTTTGAGTTTATCAGTAATATGCGATCAAAACTTTTTTCTCGATTAATATTAGTGTACATAAGGCAAAAGCATCGACGAATCCCGTAATTAGCGTGGCAAGTAGTCATTTTCGCCAAACATTCGAGAAACACGGAAAGAAACCAAGAATGTTTTTAAGCGAATACTTTTTAGTGTAACTACTACAAATTGTAGTATCCTTAGTTTTCCTTTTGTTCATCTCAAAAGCACCTCGATGATTTCAGTATGTCGCTGTTTGACCTCAGTCGATTAGTGATTCTATCATTGACCATCCTTGCGCTGGTGTTGACCGGAGCTCGCGGCTGCAAAAAGAGCGTGGCCTGCACAGGGCGCCCCCCTTGCCGTCGCGGCCCCTTGGGGAAGTAACGTGACAGAAAATTTGAAAACATGGACAAAACTAAACTGATTTGCAGAGTCTGCCCGACTTATTTGCTTCGGAAATATGAATATTATTATGCATTTATTTCTTAATTTATTTTAGTATCAATATGTTGATTCAATTACTTTGTATATACGCGTAATAAACATTTAGAAATAATTATATCTTTGCTTTGTATATAGTTACCTGGCAGTTGAGAAGTATCGTTTTGCGTTGATCCACCGTCGTGTTTTGTCTTCTCTTTTAGATTAAGTTTGTAGTTAATTGTTATTATTTGGTGGAAAGACACAAACCGATATTTTTCATTTGCAGAACAGTCGAGATAAGATGAAAGTTTAGAAAAACCCAAGCTAATACGAAGCAGTACAAATACGAAAAACACGCTGAAATTTAAGTAAAAGTTTAAAAGTAAGTATCTTAAATCTTCTTTGAGTACGTAATTTACAGTTAGAAATTGTTTAACAAATCATCTTCTTAAAGTGTAGCTGTTTACTTCAATTAAATTAATTATAAATATGAGAATTCATAAATTTCTGAAACTTTTAAAAAGGAAAGCGCATAATCAAACGCCCAAATATAGCGTAAGCAGAAAAACTGCGTAACCAAAACATAGCTCAATTTAATTAAAGTAATTATATAAATAAGAAAAAAAGATTCTTACCACAGTTTGACTCGTGCTGTAATTACAATACGCCAGTTTAATAGGACAGTAGCGCTGGACTGGCACGACATCATTAGCGCCAGTTAGTGTATACATTGTCAGCTGTATGCCAGCGCTGAATTTAAGCACTTGTGTCATACTGAACTGGCACAATGTTAACAGCATTTGATTTGGATAGTAATTACTTCTCGAACCGCCAGCAAGAGACGTCAATCATCAAAAATATATTGCTTATTACATAGTAATAGTTATAGAGTCAAGATGTATATAAATGAGTTCTTCCTGGTGCTGCTGCACATCATGGTGTCTGTGGCTGATGTGATGCGAGGGAAGGGTGAAGGAGACCAGGCCGGGGACTCCCCAGACGGCTGTCCAGGGGTTAAAATCGTGTATAAGGTGCAATCACTTTATAATAGCCGTATACTAAAGTAGCCATGACGAAACGGATGGAAAATAAATAAAAAAATTGAAGAATGCGAATGAGATCTCACTTGTCAATATCACTTCAGTTAGCTTACGTGATAAAACATATTATATTTTATAATCTCTATTTTTAAAAACAATAATAAGAGGGACGACAATATGTTTTTGTATCTTTTCTAGTCAGTGGAAACTGACACTAATAATTGTATTTCCTTACAGATGCGCCAGTGAATTAATTTTATTATTTGAAATAATTGTTATGACAAACATCTACTGCTTGTTCAATGTCTCTAAAAATTGCACAATTGTTATATTAAAAAAAACGTAAATAAAGTAACGTATCAATTTAACAATATTTTTTTTTAATTTAATGAGCTTATAAATAATTAATACTGGTTAAATATTAATGAATGTATATGAAGAGGAAGTTCTTAATTAAATAAAAATCCACAAGTACTGAAGTTTTTTAATAAAGCACAATAAAAAATTGGATATCTTAGCTTTAGAAAGCAAATTCAGTTTCATAATAATAGCTAATTATCATCGCGCAATATTGGAATAACCCTCGATTTCTGAGACCAAACTATACAGAGGTATAAAACTTATCGTCATCTCTGATATGTGACAAAACCGCACGGGGATTTTGGTCTCAAATCGACGATTACTTAACGGAAGAGAATAAACTTTTGAATTCACTTAGGAAAAAGGTAGGAAAACAAACAATTTGTAGGCATAAATGTAAGGACATTTTATCCTTGAAAATTACGAGGTAAGTTCGTGAACCTTTTAACGTAGGAATTGCTTCGGCTAACGTCTGGGCAAACAGTTATGCCTTTCAGTATTTACTGTATAAGATTTTGCACCTTATATGAAGGACATAAGCTTTATTTTACAGTGGCCGATGTTCAATAAAACAAAATTATTACAAATATTAATAGTCGACAAACTTGTGCAATCATGTCATCTTTTTTATTCTCGTTGTATAAGAGATGTGTTTTTGTCTCGTTCTTGTCTTGTATCTGCTAGAGTAAATGTATTGCTTAGGTCCACGTTCTTCCACGTTCCAAAATCTTCGTATAATATATCGTCATCTCTGTTATAATCAACAAAACAGACAACAATATGTTTCAAACAGGGGTTTTGGTCTCGGAAATCCGCGGTAATCAAGATAAAACTTAGTTCATTCTATTAAATTAGTCTTTAGTTATTTGGGGGATTTTTTCTAAACTATGGTAAAATAAAACAAAACTATAAAATAATGCGAATATTTTTATTTACAATCAATTACAATCAAGTCTTAAAATGTAGATTATATAAAATATACTAGTAATGGAAAATTAACTCCTAAGCTATAGTCTCAGAGTTAAGATATTAAAAATTATGAATTAAACCACACTAACCAAATAACTTTGAAAGTTGACGTTTGAGTTACCGTGGGTTTCTGAGCTCAAAAAAAAACATAACAGATTTTGTCACAGATAATGAAAGGGATGACGATATGTTTTATACAGATATTTTGGTCTCAGAAACCCACGGATAATCAAATGAAAAGTACATTTATTTTGCCCAAAAAATCTGTTGTTATTAACTAAACGAAGCATAGAAATACTGTTTGCATAGAAATGTTTGCGCTATGCTATGCGCCCACAATAACATGATATCTGCAGAATTATATGACGGATGAGATTTTTTTTTTTGTTAAAATGTCTATAATTTTAACGATATTAATTATCTTCATACAAATGAGAATAATACAAGTAAAAATAATATATTTAAGTTTGTCATATTTTTAAAAGTAAATCATTAAAAAATATTAAAATGACTACAAATATATTTATTTAAATGTAAATTATAATAAGATAAGCAATTCTCCTGATGACAATATCGAAAGCATTATATGGATATACCCAAGTTTCCAATTAATCGTTTCATCATAATTATCTTGTAAAATTACAAGAAATTCGACATGTTCTATTTTATTGAATTTCAAATTTATTTAAAATAAAATATGATGAGATTTATTCAAAAAAAATTGACCTGATATAACAATTTTACCAGCATTTAATAGTTTACATTTATTAATATTAAAAAAGGGAATACAAATTCAATTATAATAATAATATATTATTAAGACACTGTTTTGCCTTGATTGTAATAAACAAAACTGTTTTAAGTCAATCTAAAATACGACCCAAAAAACTAATGAATCTCAAAACAAATTTTACACAATCTAAATAGCTTGTCATTTAAACGAGAGAAGATTTTCATTCAGAATATGATTTCATTTTTATTCCTTTATTTATATACATATTAATACTAACCAGAAGATTATTTTGCTGTCTAACTAACCATGGGTTTCTGAGATGTAAATCCCCGTTTAAAACATGTCATCCCAGTCATTATCTTTGACATGTTGAGATAATAATGTGCTTTAAACCGGGATTTTAGTTTCAGAAACCCATAATTTGTAGATATTTAATCAACACATAATCTTTTTATATATACTTATACATGACCAGTCTTGTTTTGGTCGTTTTTATAAATTAGGCAGTGTGATATTTTATTCTGAATTGTAAAAGCCCTAACTCTTATTGTAAATGATCACATTAGAGAATCAGGCATTGAAACAAACAGATATACATGTTCAAATATATATTTATATATGTAAATTATATGTTTATTACAAATTTTTAAATGATCTATATTCTAATTTAGCAACATGATAAATTACAATAAAACATGGATATACCCTACATTAATATTTAAAAAAATTAACATTTTTTTTATACAAAATTATAGTTGACAAATATACAAGGCAGATCGTATCCATGTTATGTATTGTATTTTATTTCGTACATACTGAACTATTTCCATACAAGTTCACAATCAAACTGACGTTACACTCGAACCAAAATCAGATTTTATTATAATATCTGTTTACACGCTCTGAATGATAGGCCTATCACCACACTTATTTAAAATATTAAAACACAAATCTGGAAAATTACAGAAAAATACTTGATAAGTTTAAATGAAGTCGCCTTTAGTTAATTCTGATTTAAAAAGTTAGCCTAAAATTTCTCCTTTTTCAGACTATTATTTGGGATGTCAATCAAAAACATCATAATGTTCAGAATTCACCAACAATGCATACAGAGTGTTCAAATTTACAATACTTTCACTGTGACGAAAACCTTAATAATCTTATTTCCCAACAACGTATACAGGATGTTCACATTTAGAAATTACCCAGACTTTCATTGCGACGTTAAATCATTAATAATGTTATTTCCCAACAATGTATACAGAGTGTTCAAATATCCCAGACTATCATTATGATGTAAATTATTAACGTTATCACTAGAAAACATCAACCTGTAGAAGTACACTGCAGTGACACTTATCAATACTTATTGTCATCCATTCTCTTTGACAAAAGACAACATTGCGACACAAATCATTAACATTTTCCCCAAAAAACCGTCTAATCATAGTAGATACAGGATGTTTCAATTTCCCAGGCCTATCATTCGTACGTAAGTGATAACAGTAGGTAAGAGCTAGCGCTATAGCAACGCGCGGATCTCCTTGTGTATCTGGCAGAGGTAGTCGACGTATGAGGCGCTGCCGTCCACTCCGCGATCCTCCACCAGGAAATGTCTCAGCACTGTCTCCATCTTGTCGTGCTGACGCATTATTGTTAACTACAACAATATATAACAGAATTTAATTAATCAATTTATTTAACATTTTTAAAATAATGTTTTGGAAAAATGATGAAGAATAATGGAACAACCTGTATTAAAGTGACATTTTTTTGTAATTTTGCAATTTACCTTGTTAGTTATTTTGGATAAAACATTTGATAATTCAAATATTCTTTAAATTATGTTCGCAATTGTCTCGTCATTTATAACATAAAATATTTTCCTATAAACCAATATCCAAACTATTTTCCTAGCAAATTTCAAAGCAAGTAAGCCGAGAAGAGAAGTAAAATATGAAATTTAAAAGCAAATCTTAACCCAATTAATTTTGCGAATTGGAAGCGTTCCCATAACATGTAGATATCTTATCGATCAGTAAAGAAATATTTTCTGTTTGATTGCTATGGACAATATTCATTTTATTTATTTTTAAATTAATTTCGATTGAATATTATTTAATAAAATGAATGATTCTCTGCATACTATTACACATAATACTTAGATTTTAAATCAAGGAACTAAAGAATACAAATTCTTGGTATAGATAAAGTAAATGGAAGCGACTAAAATATATACCCTTAAAGAAGAGAACCTGTAAAAAGCAACCGAAAACCCCATCACCTTTAACCCTGTCCGTAGTCACACTTTATTTATGAAGGAAAAATAATTTAATACCAAAGAGCGACATTTGACAATTGGAACATGTTACAACATGTCGCATGTTACAATATGTCGCATGCTACAACATGTCGCATGTTACAATATGTCGCATGTTACAATATCCCAAATGCCATATGATGAACGCTGCAACATGAATAACCACAAGCTGTAAAAGAATTTATAAATGCGACGCCCAAAGTAAGTCAACCATATATAATCATGCAAATTGAACACATAGAAAAATTATTTGTCGTGTCCCAGCGAGAAAGCCCCTTCATTTCACACAAGAGTTGTTAAGCAGCAGTCCCTTGGCGGGTGACTGTGGGTAGTGCATTAGGTCCGTCCACCGTAAGGGTGAGGTGGTCCGTACCCCTAACTATAGCATCTTCTGGACCAGCTTGTGCGTGGCCATGAGGCTGTCGACGTATCCCTCGCCGCCCACACCGCGGTCCTCCACCAGCATCCGCCGCAGCGCGCCCTCCTCCTTGCTGTGCTGCGCCATCACTTGCAACTGACAACCACACAAGTTGCATCCTCAACTCATACATACACATACATATACACATCCATACATATACTATGCATATTAAATAAATTTATTGGAATAAAAATTTGAAAGTAAAAGCGTTATAGTTTCCTAAGTAAATATCGGACTTAAAAACTAGATTTTCTTTTTGTTTTCTTCCTAATAACAAAAATTAAAACCTTCTTATTGTTTTTTTTTTGTATCGGAGGGGGGGGGACTTATTCAGTATTTCAAATTGTAGTAACAATTCTAATATGAGTTATTTTGTAACACATGACCAGATTACATAAAATATAACTCAATATAAAAGGTTATATGAGAAAGCGTTCAAATATATCTGTTTAAAGAAATTTTGTCAAAGTATTTTATGTCAATTAATTTAATTCATAAAACACAACAACTATTTTCTACCACATTCAGCCATAGTGCATGCAAGCACAAAATAACGCAGAGGAAAGAAGAACATAAACCATAGTTTCAGGATTTACAAGTGTAAAGAAAGAGATAGCAAATGTACACTCTTTTATGCAAGCAGATAATAAACTATTTCTAACACTGACAATATAAAACATCATGCAATCATGGCAATACTAATATATATACTGTTATGTGTTGCCACATCTTGACTAGAAAATATACCCAATTGGCTAATTACATAGACATATCCCAAATGGGACTAAATTTATGCAATCTAGATTATCTGAAAGACTAATTTACTAAGTAACTATATTCTATTTACGATTCTCTAACTACAACTACATTTTTGCCCCAATTGGGTATAAACTGTATATGTCCCAACTGGGTACAAAGTAGATGGTTCGGTATTGTGATAGTTTACCCGCATAGCAGATCGTCGCTTGAGTCGTATCTGGTCGACGAGTTCCCTGGCGGCGGTGTTGGCGGGCGTGCCCAGGTGGGGCAGCTCGCACACCTGCGTGTCCACCTGCTGGGGGGAGGGCACGCCGAATATCTCCGCCACCAGCTCGCTCGCCGCCATAGACCCCACCCAGATCAGGATGTGGACGCCGTTCTCTGCAATACATATACTTAACCGTCTTCAATTGTTCAATAAAATCAACGAACGATATAATATAATATTAACGATTTAATTACTTGAAATGATTTCAAAAAAAATTACACATAAAATACTCTGCCAAAGATAGCTACTTAGGACGTCACAATTCAGTATTTCAAATGACCAAGAAATGATCACTTACTGTTGGTTCCTGAGACCTAAATACCCGGTTAAAACATGTTGTCGTCTCTTTTTGTCAAAGATAATGACAATACGACTATATATTTTCAGAGGTCTCAGAAACCCACGGTACCCATCTACCCTAAGGGGCGCCTTTAAACAACATTAAGCGAATTCTAGTGTACTTTAATAGCCAATAAATGAATAAAATAATTTGAATAAAATGAACAGCATTGTTCACCTAATAGATAAATGCCATGATCGGTGATCTTGTCTATGGATGCGCGCAGCGGTGTGGGCGGGGCGTGGTGCGGGGGCGGGGCCAGCGCGCCAGTGTGCAGCGCCAGCAGACGCGGGTACGTGTACGCCAGCGACAGCGACACGTCCGCACACAGCGCGCGGTACATCGCACACGAACGCTCGTCACACGTCACGTCGGGACCTGAATAAACAAATATATTTACGAGCGACATACACCACTGAATCCTTCTTTTTCAACTTTACTCCTCTATTTATCTAAATGAAGACTAATCTAGACAATTTTTCGAGTTACTGCACATTCCTACAAGCTTGTAGATTAGAAAGGTGTGCCATGCTACACTACTTTATATATAAAGAAGTCGAAACTAGAGTAGACCGTAGTAGACTATAGTATACCAGATTAGACCATAGTAGAGCGTAGCGCAGTCGACTTACCTCCGGCTATAGCATCAGAGCGCAGTATGCAGCTGGTGTAGAGGGGCAGCAGCTTCATGGACTCGGGCAGCACGAGCTGGCCGGCGGAGGAGGGCGAGGCGCAGTGCCTGCGGTACGCGGCCAGCGAGCGCGCGCACCGCTGCGACAGACCCTCGCGCACCTGGGACGGCGTCGCGTCACGCAGCGCCCACACAGCTGGAATTGTATACAAATATTAATAAATATACTAAAAATACATTAATAGAATAATTACTAGAGGTTTTTAATTGGGAATTTAAGATTAATACTGATTTTTTTTTAAATATTATAAGGTGGCAACAAGCGAAGCTTTCGCATGCGCAATTGTAGTTGCATTGCCTACCTTTATAGAGAGAGGACACACACAAAGAGAATATTTCTCTTTCCTTAGTGACCCCTCCTCCGTCATCGTTTCCTTGGATGTTTGTTTACCTTGTTTGTTGAGGAATGCGATGGTGGTGTCGAGCTCTGCCGAGCGGTATACGTCAGCGAGCTGGTGCGCCACGTTGAGGGCGAGGTTGAGGACACGCAGACGACGTTGTCCGCAGCGGCGCGTGTAGAGCAGCGCGGCCTGCACGTACACGCCCTCCTCACCGGTCAACTTGTCGTCGTGTTTTATCTCCACACCGATAGCCTTGTCAGCATCTGTGTATAAATCAAAAACACAACAACTTTAACAAGATACGACTTGTATCTTTTATGATATTCATTCAAAAATTTTACTAAAATCATAATTGGGACTATTTGGATACATAGATGTATGGATGGATGGATGTTTATTAAAAGACATCTCCAGATCGGCTTTATAGATCTGAATGAAAATTGGCATATATGCAGAACATAGTCTGAATATAAGTATTTTTATAAGGGCTTATTAAGTTATGTTTAAATTCGGCACGTGTGTTGTATATAGTAACTGACCGATGGCAGCGAGCTCGACGTCAGTGGTGTTGGACATGAAGAAGTGTCCGAAGAAGTCAGTGGCGCGCACGCCGGTGGAGGTGCGCACGCGCATCACCGCGTCGTGCGCAGTGGGGCGCGACACCACACGCCGCACGTCCCACGCCAGCCGCTCCCCGTCCGTCTCCGCCTTACAACATAACACTCATATTTACCAACAAGAAATATAAAACAGACATTTTGTTTTCAGAAACCCACAGTCAGATGCAACCGTTTAAGTCTTTAAGCGTACATTTCTTGTATTCAACCTAAACTAAGCGTTTCCAGATTATCACTTAACTATTTTGAGTGAAATAATTTTTATCTCAAAAATACAACGATCATATTAAATTTGTATGGATGGATATTTCTTATTACGTATCTCTAAAACGCCTCAACGGATCTTGATGAAATTAATCACAGATGTAGAACATAGTCTGGCAAAACACATAGGCTACAATTTTTTTTAGTTCCACGCAGATAAAGTCGCGGTATAGTAGGTAGGTAGGTAGGTAGGTAGGTAGGGCAGTGTGTAACTAACAGTAAAGTATGTATATTTGTGCATCTGTCCGCCGGTGAGTCGCGGCAGCTGTCCGATGGTGGCGGCGTCCACGTACGCGTTGTTGCACACGAACAGCTCCACGCAGACGCCCGCCGCGCTGCACGCCTGACCCGTCTCGTTGTACGCCGTCGTCTGCGGCACTGACACACGCAACACACGTACATATAGAACATAGTCTCAAACACTGACTACCAATTCAACTTTTCTTGCTGTAAACTCCGAAACTACTGAACCAATTCTTTTGTAAATTTTGTAAACATCTGTAAGTTGGTTCAACTTGGGAGTTACTTTACACAAATTTTCTCTATATTTACTAAGGAAATGAACTCACTGAGTATCTGTTTCTCCTTATCAGTTCCCAGCAGTTTCCTGTCCTCTCTATTGATAAGTTTCCCTGGCGCGTTGTAAGTGGGCAGGGAAGTGTGGAACACAAGCAGCTGGCCTGAAGTATCCGCAGCTTTCAACGCTTCTAGACCAGCCTGGAATAAACACAGATTTTTATAGCAAGCAAATTCGCCGAAATATCGAAACAACCGCTGCCCGTAATCATCTGTAATCGCAGATGCGGTGCCTACTTTTGATCGATCTTTCCTATGCATCCTCTTCTCCGTCAAATACACTTCCCCTTTCCATACTTTCCTTGTAAAAAGGGTGGATGGACAAAAATTCGCTTCTTACACTCGCCTCGTCGTTCTCCCTTATCCAGGTTCGACTGTAGTAAGTTGCTATTTATCATCCTGTATTACACACCTGTACAGCTGGTAACAGTATCGTCTCCGTCTCCTTATTGTCATGGAACATGTTGGGCAGCTGCTGCAACAGCTGCTGCAGCACTGGCCCGCTCTGCTCCGCCGGTGACAGGAACCCGTCCAGCAACGGCACGAACACGTCAGACACGTCGCCCACTGACAACATCTGAGGCTGCGCCAGTGTACCCTGAGGGTGGAGAAAGGTTTGTAACCAATGGGCAAGTTCGGTAAGTATTGGGAAATTTTAATAACTAATAGGCAAGTTAGGTTAAGCATTGGGCAATTTAAGAATTAAATGGGCTTAATAAATACCTTTATATTGTAGAAGTGAACTGTAGAACTGTAGGTGATGAAACCTACACGTGTGTAGCTCTTTCCATTTTCGTCTTTTGGCATAGCCTGGAAACAAACATTGTTTTCTTAATACCAGACCAAAATAATAAAGAACTGGATAAGCGAGAAACCACTTTAAATAAGTGAGAAATACCGCTTAGAGAGAAGTCTCTTTAAGCAAGAAAGATATCGCGGACACATGACTTATCCAGTTGTGAATATTTTTTCATTGTAAGCAGACAAATCTCAGATAAGTCACTAATTTATAACTTTAATTAGCGATTTCAATAATTCATTACTCATGAAATACTGTGACTTTAGTTTTTTTAGACATAATAGGGTATATAAAAGGTAACTGACCTCGATAAAGTCCATAATATTATCGCAGACAGTCTGCAGCAGGCCGTTCTTGATGGAATTGTATGACACGTCGATGACAAACACTATAGCCGGTGGGTTCGGCAAAGTATTGTTCTGAAATAACAATAAACACATTTAATCTTTAAGTAATGGTGACCTAAAATGAGTTGATGGCAGTGGATGTGTTACATGAGTCTTTCAAAGACATGGTTTTATTTCCCAAAACATAAGATTTTTGATTTAATTTATTCCTAAGGAAAACATTTTATATCAATTTATTAAATTTTAATACATCTTATGGGATTTTACATTTGAAAACAAGGTTATATGCGCGTTGGGCATAGGTCAAACTAAATTTTAACAGCTCACTAGCGCCCCTCTTTCAATGTTAAAAAAGGGTCACAAGATAAATTTGTACTGGAGCAGAGAAATCTTTTCTTTCAAGACCATTTTCTATGCCTAAGTATGTTTTCCATATTTTCTGACCTAGCCGCGACAGTGGCGCCTCTCTTCGGCTCGGATATCCTTGGGTTAGTTAAGTTTACATTTCAGTAATAAAAAGTAAACTTACTCTACAATATTCTTTAGTTGCAACAATTTCATATGTCCCCAGTGCCATCTCAGCTGGCACTCTGCCGTACTGTTGCATGCTGTTTATATACTGCGTGTACTCCATTGGCACTAAAATATATGTAAATGTCTTAAAATTACGATTTATTTGGTAAATTGCCGGCAAAAATCTATGCTAAGAGGCTCTTTTAGTAATTATTTAATGTATTTTTGTGTTATAGTTATTTAAAAAAAGTAAACTACAAAAATAAAGTTAAAAATCATTTGAAGCTAATTTTCTGTATGTTATTATAGTATTTATTTATTGTAAGAAAGTTTTTTTCTCAAATTAATCTTACTGATATTATAAATGTGAATGTTTAGATGGATGGATGTTTGTTTGAAGGAATCTCCAGAACTGCTGAACGGATCTTGATGAAATTTGGCATAAACATAGAATTTAATCTGGAAGAACACATAGGCTACTAATAAAGTTTTTTTTAATACCGGGCGGACGGAGTCGCCAGCGACAGTTAGTAAGTTATTGAATTTCCTATATTTTGTACTCCTTTTAAATAAATATTGGCAATGTAGAGAAAATAATTTGCTAATTGCTTAATTTTTTCCTTAACTTGATAACCAACCACACAAAGACGTACCTTCAGTAGTAGCTTTACAGAAAGCACATTTGAAATGTCTTCCTGCATCAATGAACTTCATGTTAGGACACATGTATGCCTTGCAGCGGCTGCACCGGACAGGACCCATGGTGGGGGAGCCTGTCAGCGCTGCAAAGTCTATCACCGGAGGATCCTGTTCTGCTCCCACTGTTTCTGCCATTGGAGATATCTAGACAGAGTTTACACAATTGTAGGTTGTTATAGAAACTTAGTACCTTTAGGAAATAAGTTTGATTATTGGTTACGGATTCCTGGCAATTAAACTATTCTATATATTAATACCGAAATGTTGTCATTTTGTGAATATCATCAAATATAAAAGGGAAATTGTTCATTATGTGTGAAGGAATATTTAAAAACATGATAACAGTTTTAATAAATGTTAGAAAATAGTTCTTGTACAGTGGGTTTCTGACACCAAAACCTCTGTATAAAACATATTATCATCCCTATCATTTCTTTGACAAAACAGAGATAAAAATATGTTTTCAACTGAGATTTTCTTCTCAAAGACCAATGGTTAGTACTTGACAATATTTGGCTCTTAGTTAGTAAGAGATAGAGTAAATGATTTATTGTACTTACAACCAGACAGAATGGCATTGCGGTTTGCTTGAGTAAGTCTGCCGTTACTGGCACGCTATACATTGAGCTTCTGATGTACCGAGGACCTGCATCGCATAAATTATTTCTATATTAAATAATAGAATCCCAACACTATATGATAAGGAATGAAATAATACAAGATACAATTAAATTAAGATTATCTGAGATCATAATCAACTTAGAAATAAAGTATATATGGAGATAAAAGAGACATATATAATAAGTCTGACCACATTTTTTTTTATATGTAAGCACATATAAAAAAAAAATGTGGTCAGACTTTCCGCAAATAAAGTTGACTTGTCATCTGTATTTTTTATATATTGTTAGGAAGGAAATCCGACACTATGCCAGTGTACTGGCACAACACTAGCCTTATTAAAATGTTAACGTTTATGTCCCCTCACTAATCAATCTGACACTTGACGTGGTTACAAAAGCGCCTGAATTTGCTCTAAATAATTCTAATTAATAATGTCTAAAAATACTTGTTATGTACTCACTTGAGTTTCCTTTGTCATCAACAATGAAGTCAGTGGTGACAAGTGGTGGCACCAAACCCTTCTCATTGGTGACAAACACACCACCTCTGTTCTGTTGATCATCTGCCATCACTTGGATCTGACAACATTCAATTAAATTAAAAAAATCATGTTATAGTCAAAACATAATTACATCAATGTAATAATTTGTGTAAATTACTTAGAACATTCTCACTATGAAGGAAAACATTGTGATGCCGCACATATCTATGAAAAAATTCAAAAGAATGTGTGAAGTCAACCCACATTGAGCCAGTGTGGTTGACTGTGGCCTAGTCACTAACTTAGGTTAGGCTCTAGGTGAGCTGATGATGATGTCTTAGAACATTGTACTCACTGGACTAGGCATTTGATCAGGATCTAAACGCCTTTGCTGTGGCTGTTGCGGAAACTGCTGTCCAGGATAACTTGGTTGCTGCCCTGGGAATGGCGCATATCCTGGCTGCTGCTGATATGCCTGAGGTTGGCCAGGCATTGGAGGTTGGCCAGGCATCGGAGGTTGTCCAGGCATCTGGTGTTGACCAGGCATTGGAGGTTGGCCAGGCATTGGCGGCTGTCCAGGCATATGGTGTTGGCCAGGCATTGGCGGTTGGCCAGGCATTGGTGGTTGGCCAGGCATTGGCAGTTGACCAGGCATTGGTGGTTGGCCAGGCATAGGCGGTTGGCTATGCATTGGATGTTGGCCAGGCATTGGGGGTTGGCCTGGCTTTGG